ATTATAAAATCTGAAGAATTGATACAATAGAGGAAAAATAGGAATAATTATAAAGTCTGAAGAATTGATACAATGAAGGACAAATAGGAATGATTATAAAGTCTGAAGAATTGATACAATGGAGGACAAATAGGAATGATTATAAAGTCTGAAGAATTGATACAATGGAGGACAAATAGGAATGATTATAGAGTCTGAAGAATTGATACAATGAAGGACAAATAGGAATAATTATAAAGTCTGAAAAATTGATACAATGAAAGACAAATAGGAATAATTATAAAGTCTGAAGAATTGATACAATGAAGGACAAATAGGAATGATTATAGAAGCAAAGTTGGAATGTTGATGGAAAAAGGATAGAAAATAGCGAAGGATAGATGGTGATGTATGGAAGTACTGGAAAAGGGGTAGGTAACGAACAGTGATTAATCTAAAAAAAAAAAAAAACTACAAAGAAAATAAATCTGTGAAAAGGGCATAAAATAAGGACGCCCGGAAGTTTCCGAGGTGGGAGCAGGGGCTCGTAACATAAAGCTTGCTAAGCTTTTGACTGAAGTAAGGTCATAAGTATGTTTTTGAAGACCTACCTAGTAAGTAATACATATGTGATAGGATTGGATTTTACTGAGTAAGAAAATAATGATAACTTGGATTGGTTAAGATCGTTTATTATACATTCGGACACTTTCTAGCTTTATACAGTGATTTGAGAAACGTCCTTGTATGGGTTATACATAGAATGTAGATTTTTATTGGATAAGAGAGACACACCTTCAGATCGCGGTGTATTTAAAGTCCAGTATTTAACGTGTAGATAAGTTGGTTTTGAACCTCCTCAAAGGTTCGTGCCAGCTCACTTTCTGAAAATAGGGGGTGGATCCCGGTCTCCTTATTTCTATTTTTGGTAAACCGGTTAGGTTAGGCATCGTTGATTTTTCGTACAGGGGTGGGTCACTTTTCTTCGGACTTAGCATTGGGTAGGACGGGTTCTGGATATTTTACAGCTGTTAGGTAGGCACTATTTTTATTGAGGCCCATTAGTAAGATAGGTCGTTAGTCCATCAGTTTTTGTTGTAAATATATAAATGTTAATATTTTGTGCTGTTAATAAAATATAATTGTTGCCATAATAATTACTTATTAATTTGCAAACTCTTGTTATTAAAATTCTTGGTTTGATAAGTCACTTGCGTGACTAATTGAAGTACAATAGGTTTATTGGTTAGTAAGAACTTGGAATAAAATATGGAGTACTATTATTGATAAAGAAAATGTGTGTCATTTAAGGAGTTAATTTTGAGAATAAAGGAGGTATTTTCATACGATCATTTTCGTTACACTGGTATCGTGTAATTTTCTAATTGCATAAGTACCGTGTTACGAAATCCGATTACATTGGTGCCGTGAGTGGTACCTAAGACCAAAGGTAAAACCAAATCCCGTTACATATAGTTATGTCTTATACCGTAACATAAAACGAACTGAGCTAGGACTTAGCTATGTCAAACTTAAGTTCTAAATATTTCGTATGAATCATCCTATAGTTTTTTTACTTTATTTATATATATTGCTAATAAAGGAATCATTTAAGTTTTTATTAAATATATATTAAAGCTGACCTCATTACTATCGGTTTTAGTAAGGTTAGATTAGATTTCGTATTAAAAATATAATTCTGTTTAAAATTATTCTGAATATTTGAAAACAAATATTGCAAGGTCACAAATGGCAACATTGGTTCATTGTAAATGAATGATTATTGTTTATCATCACTCGAGACTGCGATGTTTTCAGTTTACCTTTGTTGTTATTCTTTTGCTTTGACAAATGTTCACTTGCTTTGTTATTTTCGCAGACATGGCACGATAACCGAAAGTCTATGTACTTGAAATTGAAACTCTAATAAAAAAACGTACAAACCATTTTGCATTTTGAATTCTTTTTCCTCCAATTTATCAGCCCATTTTAGCAAGCAAAGACTGTAGACGTTTTATGATATACTTATTTACAATTTAATCAAGGATCGAAAAGAATTGTTTTCAGAAGATAATTTTTGTATGTCTCCAACCTCTCTCTCTCTCTCTCTCTCTCTCTCTCTCTCTCTCTCTCTCGAATGGTAGTGAACCCTGTCTGAATTCAGGCTTGTTGCTTAGATACATTTAATTTAATTTACAGACACTCTTTGTTAAATTCTAGTCATCATCCTCTAACTCACTGATAATTTTTCTGGTTTTTTTTTTCAATTTATTTCATTTCATTTAAGCATGGTCTTAGACTTAAGTACCCTTTATGTTACGACCCCCATGTCCGTAGGAGGAGTAAGCTTCCCCGTCGACCGATCACACCTCCAGTGACCCCCATGCATTGATTGGTATGAAATAAGTCAGTCAAAATACGACACAATGATAAGTAAAATAAGCATACTTCAAACTCAGTGAGGGAAAGATGCCAACGATACTAATATGATTCTGTAAGAATAAAGTAAAGCAATCTAGATAATGCATCTCTTAAAATATATATTTGTTTCTTTACTACAGTTATCTTAGCTTGATCAATTCTTCGAGGAATCAAGACACCTCTTTCTAAAAGTTTAAAACATTAAGGTATAAAAAGAAAAAAAAAACAAATTTGTGGAAGAAGAAACAATCTACGTTATGCAACTAAAAAATTACTAACACGTTTGCTTATTTCTCAGCTCGATACTATCCCAGCCCCCACTATGGGACGTGGAGACTGGTCATTCAGAGGCCCCGTGTCGCAGTAGGTGCTGGCACGAAAAAGATCCCTCACTGCTCAATGGCCCTAAGTGCCGAGTATAGGTATAAATTTGCAGCCCTCCACCGACAAGTGGTGGCGTCTCTATATGAGTGAAACATTCTCGAGAGGGACGTTAAACAATAAACAAACAAACAAACTATCCCAACCCAGTGAGTTCTGTCTTGACGGCTAAACATACTGTAGCATAGATTCACAATGAATTTTATTTTGAAGTGAAAAAAGTTACTGCTGTCTGAATTCCTCAAATGAATACGTTCTTTACTGCCATTATTGTATTTTTTGTATTTATAAAAAAGAAAAATTCTTATTAGTAGTTCGTTAAAATTTATAATACGATAACAAACCTTTTTGTATACATGGCATTCATACAACAGGTAACAAGACAGAGACACTTTATACTGAGAGAGGATCCATAAGAGCTTAAAACTTAATAACCCAGTTACAAATAACATTTTATACATGTCCCGCTCTTAACATAAGTAAAATATCTTTTTGTGTCAGAGAGATTAAAATCAGTATTTATTACATTTTCAACAGTGAAATATTGTGATTTATCTATTGAATAAAAGTGATATTCTGCCACAGTTTGAAAGGATACCAAAGTAATATTCTGTCAGTGTGAAAGGATATCAAGATAAGTAAAAAATGATTTCTGGCCTGTAAAAAGATAGACATAGTAACTAAAATCATCATAGATATAAAATGTTACACGTGCATTAACGTATTCTGTAGAATATACAGTAAATTACAGAGATTACAAAAAGACATTCAGTTTCTACTTTATTTGCAGATACTCTTGACACGTGCTTTGATTGTTGAAGTATTATATAATGTCGAGATCATTTTAGGGGGGATATCTAAAAGGATAAAAAACATAACAAAGCAGCAAACATTAAATTTGACTGGAAAGTTGATAATCTCTTTGTACGAAAAAAGTTTTCTTATTCTAAAGTCGCTCTAGTATTGAAATACAGAAAAAAAGTCCACATCAGAAAAGTACCATTAATTTACAGACATAATGTTTCTAAACAAGCAATAAAGAGTCCTCTACCGGTAAGGACTGGAATTCCTACATAAATCATCGAAGCGAAATAAAATGCGAATTTGATCTGTAAGTTAAGATAGTGTCACACAGCTACTATCAGCTCAATATAAATCATAAAAAATAAATAAAACCAAGTGGGATAGACTGGCTGACATACAGAGAAACAGACAGACAAACCTGTAGTCTCCTTCGGTTCTCCGTTAGAAAACTAACAACTAGGTTACCCCGTTGGTCGTTAAATGATTTAGGTTTAAAATTCTTGTGTATAATAAATCTCTAAATATAATTCAAGGATGTTATTTTTTCATCCTTTAGGGGGAAAACACAGTGTTTTTATAGTTAGGTAAAAAGGAAAATCAATACACTTAAGAGTTTATGTCCCAATTTAAAGTAATCTATTGTCGTTCACACACACAAAACACGTGCATTAACTTGAAACATTTATCGATGGCATATCAATGCGCATACGATTCACGATGGCAAAAAGTCGAGGTGTTATTCTTTGAACTCATTAATATGAGGTAAATCTAAGGACAAACGATTCTACATGTATTTAAATCTCCATTCCATGCGCCATTTATCTAACGTTTTAAATCTCGAGAAAGTTTTGCTGACGATTGGAGGAAGTAATCTAGCTGAAGATTCGAAACACAGAATTATAACAAACGAAAACATGAGCAACAAAACACTTAGGTGAAGAGCAGTCAGTGGTAAATTTAAATACATTTGCTTGTTTGGGTTGGGTTTAACCATCTGTTAAGAAATGAATCATTGGTTAAAGTCACTTTAAAATGCATAAAAAGTTCATCTTTTCAAAATCGCACTTCATTTTATTTATATATGACACATACATCCCTGATTAATCTTTCAGTTAAAGCATTCTCGACTAGAGAAGGACTTAAAAATGTTTTTCTGTTCCCTTTTGGTCTCAGTATTCTTGCATACGTTTTCCCATCCCGTCTACCTGTTGACAGCATAGTAAAACTACTCTATTCAAGTGTACTAAAACTAAAATACCTTGACACAGTAGTCCACTTATAAAGCACTTAAAAATAGAACCGGTGGTCATATTTTAATGAACGTCACGGTGAGGATATTACCGACTTACACACCGGATGTCGTTCCAGACAGCGAGCGTCTGTAACAGAAATATGATAGATATAAGCATACTTACATTTGATTCTTCATTTAACACACAAAAACCTGGTCAAACTTTGATTTTAGTATAAACGAGAAGACGACGTTCCTATTTCCTTTTTTTCATTATTTATATCAACAAGGAAGTAACAAATTTAGACCTGGTATTTAAATCACGTGACTAACAACGAAGACCTGTCATAATAAAAAGAAGCGTTGTCTTTCTCATGTTTCTAGCCTACAATTCAAACTTTACCGCTACAGCTGTGCATTTGCCAAACCTGAAATGAATTATATTAATTAAAAGCAAATTATGTAAAATTATATGAAAGAAATCATTGGTCAATTCTATAAGAAAACTTTGTAGAAATTAGAACATCTTATTTTATTGTCATTGTCCTGCTGTCTTATAAATATAGGCTTACTTACTAACATGAGATGACATACACAAAAGTGAAATTAAGTCTTGTTACCCTAAGTTTCATCTTTAAATTTAATTTAAATCTTTAACAAATATGTGACAGAAAATTAAATTCTTTGCTAGTGTTGCACACATCTCAGTCATATTAGTCGTGACGAAATATTTCTGAATTCCATTTATAATCAAAATATTAAATTTCTTAAGTGTGATGAATTCAATAGTGATTTTTTTAATGCAGTTATTTTAAAACCCTGCTCTCTGACATTGCTAAGTTGCCCGAATAAAAGATATTTGAATGATTACACCGATTATCTCCACTGGTTAGGCGATTTTAAAAAAAAAATCTTTAGAGTGCAATTGATTTTTTAATTTAAAAATTGGGGAACATTTTTGAAATGTCATAATAGCTGATGAATTATTCACCTACCCTCTAAGCTATGCACTCATTGCTAGCGCACTAGAGTTAGCCTTTTTTATTTACTGGAATACTCATGCTTGAATTCACAAAAGGGTATTCTAGGAAAATATGCCATGTCAGTTTCGTATCATCATTTAAAAATACATTTTACCTGATATTTTGGGGTTTTGACATCTAGCCTAAACAAAAAGTACCAGTGACTTAGGCCTTATAATGCCAAGACCTCTAAGATCAGTTATTTCTAGAAAAAAATAAACATTCGTTTTAGTGAATATTTTTATCCATGGGATGCGACTCCATTATATACAAAACTTTAACACCTGATGATGTAAAGTTTTTTCAAAGTTGGCTGACAATGCCCAAAAAGATGCATTTGCTACAAAAATTATTTTTTACTAGGTCCTCATTAATGTGTTACTGATCTCTTTAAATTGTCGTGTTTTCCACCTCAATATTGAAATTACAGTACAGTGATGCCATTGCCGACGTGAAGCCCACTCAACTTTGAGACCCCCCCCCCCCCGTGCATTACTGTCTTCCAATTAATAATTAATCAATTAAAAAAAATAAATAAACCAATGGTTCAGAAATCTTTTGTGGTTTATTATGGCTAAGCATTAGCCCGCGTATCTTTTTAAAAGACGGTGGGAAATATTAGTATTTCCTGGGAAATACCGGGAAATAAGAAATAGCTACATATTTCATAATTTTAATTATATTTGTGGGGGTATAGACATGTAGTGCACCTTATTGCCTAAGATATCTACCTGGTATCACTGTCCCTGATTTAAAAATTTCTGGTGTCCAAGTAATTCATTTTTAGCCGGGCTCATTGCTCGAAGAGCAATGGCCGGCTTTTGTTACGGTGTTCAACCGGGAATGCTGCTTCCTCACCGCCAAATCAAATACGAGTAAGAATACAGTACGTATGTTCAACCACCTTTGAGGCAATACAAACACTAAATTAAACAAATTTAACTTAACTATAATAAAGAATTTCTCTAAACAAAACAAAACAAAACTTTAATGATAATATACTTTCTCCATTTTTCTTCGATTAATTATTTGTTAGAAATATGCGGAAGGTTTTCACTAGATCTCCTTGTCTGGGTCACATTCTATAAATAAAGGTTGTGTTACCAGTCTTAACACTAATGCGGGGAGCACGTGACCCGATGCACACCTTAATGCACAACTCCCCGCTGAGGACTCCTCTGTACATAAACGTTTGACCTTCTGCATCAAAGTTCATTTACTTATGTAAGTGGTATAAGACCCGAAACAATAAAAAACGTTAAATTCAAACTACGTTTTATTATTTTTTTTTAACATTTTATATTTATACTATATGCAATATATTTATTTGTGTTACATGTTCTTCCAGTATCTGAACTTGTTCTTATCTATTTGTTATTACAATGTACATGTATGTTTCATGTAAAACGGTCTTTGTTCACTACTCTGTAAGTGAGCCCGGCTCTCTGTACTTCTGAGTACTTTGATATATATATGTAATCATAACACAGTTCATTCATTTACCAGTTATGAGTGTCATTTGTTTCATGTTCGAGTCAGATGTCTATAAAGTTCCATGAAATGAACCCAAAGATCCCTATTGGGTTTTTATGTAACTAAAGAAGGATCTAAGAAAAATGTTAAATGTAGAGTGTGGTGTAAATATCAAACCTAAGAGGAGGTTTTTCAGTTCTACTCAAGGTAATTATATCTCAAAACAGGAGCACAAAACTGTCCAGAGCAATTTGTTAAAACAACATGATAATCATTGATTATAATAACAAGAGTGTTTATAAAAGGATTAATAAACTTAATAATTTTACAAAACTGAAAAGAAATTTGAATCGGAAAACTTCTGTTTTGTTTTTTAATAAACAGCCAAGGAAATGTGTACTGCCTCAGAATGCTTATTGGCGGGGGCCTGGAGTAATTATGTTAAATTTCAGTTTGAGACATATTCAATATTATTCATTTTCTGTTTTTATATTTGTAAATTTCTGAATTTTGTATAAGATTGAATGAATGAAAGAAATAAAAAAAAAAACTTGAACAACTTTGTACTTCCCAGTATTTCCCAATATTTCCCAGTTTAGAGAAAATTTAAAGTATTCCCCGGGACGGGAAATACCGGTATTTACCACTGGTAATTCCCACCTCTGGTACTTCCCGGCCAACCCTTTGTTCTTCAGACCCGTGTTTCCTCTGCTCCTAATTTGTGTTGTTTAAATGGACTTTTGAACTTGAATACTGTTCGTTATCTCTATATATTTCATTGATGGAATATGTTTGTTCAGAATATTTTTCTTTCTCAGAAAACTTCAAGGTACTGTACAACGATATAATTTTATCCGAGAAGTGGTGTTAAGCAGAAGTTGATGCGTAAAAAGATCAAGGATCTTTTAGAAAACTTGAAATAACAAAATTTTACCAAAATCAATAGAATCAAAACGTACGATTTTTCAAAACACTCAACAAAATATTTTTTAAAACATTTTGATTGAACAAACAAGTCCTCAGAAGTTAATATTAAAATGATGGGTTTCCGATTGACCATATCTATGTAGTTTTTGTAGATCAAGTCTTCCAACAATATATTTGAATTTCCATGGATACTAATTGCACCCCGTTATAAGCAGACCTATATTTATATTCATATGAAACAGAATTAATTCAAGAACTTTTACATGAAAAGAAATAAATCTCTTGCTGTGGCGTTCAATTTTACATTTAGATATATTGACGACGTTTTATCGATAACATTCATTTACAATTTCCTACACTGATGCGATTTATCCCTTTCAACTTAAAATATGATACACGTACAGCAGAGTCTGACATATCTGTTTCATGTTTGGATATTTTTCTGGATATTTTACCAGAAGAAGACATTAATGGCAAACTAAAGAGAAAACTTTATGATATACTGATGACTTCAACTTTTCTATTATCAACTCTAGAACATACTATACGTACGAACAAATTCTAAAATGAGGTGAACTATTGACAAATAAGTTGATGATACAATAATATCAATTTTCCCATTTAAAATCACATTTCGCAAAAGCTATGGTCGATACATGAAATTGTCAGTAAACAAAACCTATCGTTAAATTAAATGGTGACTTACTTTTTTCATACAAACTGTTAGGACATTATGTAAGCACTGAGTTTTTCAGGGATTTTTCAGTTTACCCGATCATGACAATGAGCACAAGGCGGATACGACCGGCCGACAGGGGATGCCTACTCCCCCCACAACACCTAATCCCATCTCTGATGTTTTTAGACGCTCTTGTTTGCTTCGCACCCAATATTATTCCAATGGTGTTTTGACCTTGATTACTGTTCTTTATCATCATATTTTACAAGACCCCAGTAAAAATGGAATAAATAACTATAGCCTAAAGAAAACTGTTATTTTTTTCGCGGTTTTATAATTTTTAATACAAAAAATTATGTGGATAATTCCTGTTAAAAGAATAAGTTGAATGTAAGTTGCACAAGGCGTTTTTCATCTATCATCGCCCTTCCTGGGATTAATATGTGAGCTTTAACGACATCAGAGGTTGTAAAAGGATGTCCGTTTATATTTTTGTTATGATGATCATTTATAGTCATCTTTCTTCCTAGTTGTTCTATCTTTGGTTATTATCAAGTCTGTTAGTTTGTTCGCGATCTGTGATGTACAAATTTCCCGTAGAAATATGAACACACACACATACAAACACACATTAATATTAAACATATTGTTAGGGTACTGGGTATTGAATTGATAACATTTGTAAGGTCTAGATATCAGTATAACTTTAGAATATTTTGAGATTGCAGTAGACTCTTCAGAATATTTTAATAATACTCGCTCTAAATTGTAGCAGCAATAATTTCAGAATATGTTCATAGTATTTATAGAGTATTTATTACATTGGTGAGCTGATTGATTTGTTTGTTTGTTGTTTAACATCCCAATCAAGAATTTTTCACTCATTTGGAGACGTTACCACTTACCGGTGGAGGGCTGCAAATTTAGGCCTATACTCGGCACCTAGGGCCATTGAGCATAGAGGGATCTTTTTCGTGCCAGCACCTACTGCGACATGGGACCTCTGTTTATACTGTCTCATCCAAAAGACCTGTAAACTGTAATTTGCACCAGTTAAATACTCTGATCACTCTCGTAATTTGCATTTAATAATGATGATCGAAGGATAGTTATTTGCTTTAAAAAAACTTAAAAT